TTTAACATTGTGTGCATCCTTTCGTAAAAACTGTTCAGTCCCTGTCTGGGGCAAGACCGTCTTCATTTGGAATTTGCAATTCCTGGTTTAATGAGCAATGCCTGAAATGAACAAGTATATTAAAACTCCTTAATTGTACTTGTTTGTTCTCCAAATCACGTTAAAGGATTCTCTCTTGCTTTATAAAAGGACATGGAGGCTATCAGGAGTTTTAGGAATCCCAGCTGTCAGTTTCATTTTCATCCACTAAATCTCTGCTGACCAGGGACAGAAATGACAAGCCGACAAACTTAAACAGTAAGAATTTTGGTCAACAAACTACAAAGCCTTAAGCAATAACAATTATACCCTAGTTAAAGTTGGTGAAGGGACTAAAGGCAATAATTGTTCTTAGACATTCAAAGGAAGCAGCTTAGGAGGTGAAGGTCAGTGTTCTGGTAGCCTCCTGACTTACTGGCTTTGCAGCTTGCCTAGTCTTGCTTCTTGCATTGCCGATCTGTCCGCAGTATGACTTCTGCCTTTGCTCCCCCAGTTTAGTTCAATTTCGTTCTAAAACTTCTCCCAAGACTTACCTAGCTCAGTTCACACCAGCTCCAGGAAGTCTTCCCTGACTACAGTTCTTCCCTCTGGCCCCGAAGTATTGTTTTGTACATTGTACCTTTGCCATTTTTAACAACACGGAGCAGAGCAGGAAGGGTCCTCCTGTGAGAGTTGAGGAATTGACCTCATCACTGTCAGGACTTGATCCCATTTCCTTACCTCTTAAAAGAGAGGCTAGGATCAAAAAATCTCAGTCTTTGAAACCCTATGCTTTTGTGCTATTATTTCCTATCCTAAAGATACAAGCAAACATATGGCTTTTGCTGTTCCATGTGTTTCTCTTGTCCTTCCACCTTTCCAATTAGATTGTAGATCCTTGAGGAAAAGGGTCATAGTTTTTAATTAATTTATATATTTCGGCTAATTCTGGTGCTGTGTAATAAACATTTGCTGAGTAAATGATCTGATGCTATGCCCTGATATCTAGTAACACAGGACTTTCTATCTGTTCTTAAGGAATAACTTTCCTCTATTTATCTGTAAAATAATAATTCCATTTCAGACTGGCTCTTTGCTCCCCATGAGAAAAAAATATATAGAGGCATATTTTAGAATAAAGCTATACCTTCAAGTTCTTCATGCCCTTTCCCTAAAAATCCTCCAATGCAATTGGAGAGTCACAATTCTGTTTAGCATTCTTCCTTTTTACACTCAGGTTCAGTTTTGCTGATCCTGTGGTATGATGGTATATGGTAGACACACCCGACAGCAATAATTTAACTTAAGAATATCCTGAGGATGACCCTGTATGGCAGTTGCACCTGAATATGTGTTTGGAGTTCAGAGCATGCCCAACCCAGAGATCAATTCCTTGTCTGTGAGGAACATCTGAGCTCTGGGCCCTTCCTGTGGGACATCATCAAAGAGGGGAGTGAGGCTCTTTGTTTCGGGTTAAATGAAGGTTGCCAGGTGGAGGTTGTTAGGAGGAGGGAGTGAAGGGAAAATGCTATATAAACTGCATGCTTTTTGCATGCAGTGGTGGTTCTTCTGTCAACACACGGCTACTGCATCATCCCTGTATATCCTCCTAATAAAACCCTATGTCTCATTCATTGGTTTTGGGTCTCTCCTTCAGCCTCTTGAACCTGGTGCCATCCCTACTGAAGTTAGTAGGGGTTTATCATGACAGACATTCAACCCACTTCAGTCTTTCTTACTTGGAGAACTAACAAAGCTTTTTTTTTTTTTTTTTTGGAGACAGAGACAGGGTCTCACTCTGTTGCCAGGCTGGAGTGTAGTGGTGTGATCAGACCTCACTGCAATCTCAAACTCCTGGGCTCAAGTGATCCTCCTGCCTCAGCCTCCTGAGTAGCTGGGACTACGGGTGTGCTCCGCTAATTTTTAAGTTCTTTTTAGTAGAGATGAGGTCTCACTATGTTGCTCTGGCTTGTCTTGAACTCCTGGGCTCAAGCAATCCTCCTACCTTGCGTTCCCAAAGTGTTGGGATTATGGGCATGAGCCACCATGCCTAGCCAACAGATCCTCTTGATCATTGCTTCCAGAAAGTAGAATGCTTACTATCTTCATTTTTTGGATCTTCAAGAAATAACAGATTTACTTCCTATTTTCTCTAATTCTCTGACTTCATTGTTCACTTACTTATTTATTTTTTTTTTTTGAGACGGAGTCTTGCTCTGTCGCCCAGGCTGGAGCACAGCGGGGCAATCTCGACTCACTGCAAGCTCCGCCTCCCGGGTTCATGCAATTCTCCTGCCTCAGCCTCCTGAGTAGGTGGGACTACAGGCATCCGCCACTACACCCATCTAATTTTTTGTATTTTTAGTAGAGACGGGGTTTCACCGTGTTAGCCAGGATGATCTCGATCTCCTGACCTCATGATCCACCTGTCTTGGCCTCCCAAAGTGCTGGGATTACAGGTCACTCATTTCTTTTATTCCTCCATAATCTAGAGAGGGACCCTCTCCAACATATCAGATGATCTTGCGACCTTGTTGGAAGCCTTGCTTCTCCAGTGGATGCTAACATTGTGAAACAAGCTATACCACCTTTAATGGCATCCCTAGATGCCAGTGGAGATATATTTTCATAAGGCTGGATGGAGTATGGGTTTCCCAGTCTTTCTCAATCCCTGTTCAAGGAGCTTTACTTACTGAAGCACCCAAAGGACATTGTTTTCAGGCTTCACCTGGAACACTGCCCTGAGGTACTTATCTTAAGGAGGAAGGTAGAGGCAGCTCCAGCTCACTTTCCCCTTCACATGCTATGAATTTTTTATTAATTTCCTCCTCCCACCTTTAGCCTCTGCCCCTGTGTTTACTAATTTGAAGTGTTGCCACCAGTCAACAGGCTATTGAGGGACCCCTGGTCCTTTTGTTCATTCTTTCTTTTCAACAAGCATTTCCTAGTAGTCAGATGATGCTTCAACAATTAACACAGGAAGAAAGAAGAAAAAAAATGTGGGGGATGGGTGGTGGGGTGAATATTATGTGAGGAAATAGGAAATTTCTCTCCCCATGTTTGGGAAATACTTCAATACTGATATGCCTATTTGGTGATGAGAAACAGACATGATGTGACTTATTAAAAAAATCACTGAGCAGGCTTAGCTTCAGATCCAGCAGTTCCCGGACTCCCATCCTACCTGTGCCCTCTGAGGTTCCTGGGGGTGTGCAAAGCTACCAGGTGCATCTTCAGTAGGAACTCTCAGAGGACATAGGAGCTAAGTTTACCTTAGGAGTTTTTATACATTATTCCTAATGCTAGGAGGACTGGGCCAGGCACCTATGTTACTGACAGTATAACTACCTCTTGGATTTCCTCTTTTTTCAGGAAACATGGTTATTAGCATTTTTGCATAATATCAAAGCATATTAACTTTGATAGTTACATATAGAGATGAATATACAAGGAATCAAGGGAAGATTGCTGATGTAAAGGCATGAACATAGTCTTTTTAAAGCGTATGCACTGATTTTTTATTTTTTACAGAAAAATAATAGATTATACCAAAAGCCCTGAACCTATAAAAGTCAAATGATGTATTTCTTCCCATGGCAAGGCAGAGGTGGTATTTATAGTCCTGCAAGCAGCCGAATGGAGATAATTTAGGTTCTGTTGGCTTTTCTGGCCGAAATCTCCAGTTCCAATAGATAGGGAATCCCCTGAATCAATTCTAAAACAGACTGACTGGGAAATTTACCGAACATCTTTTCAGGACTAGAAGGTAAGGGATATGAAAGTGTTTTGAACTGAAAACTACAAAGGCTAAAGCTTTTTTTGTAAATTTAACTGTTGTGGATTGTTTCAAGAACTCCGCTTAAATGTTCTGAAAAGATGTTCAAGGTGAGGCTGAACTTTTTTACCATTTGTCAGTGAATTTCATTAAAAATATGTTGTATGTTAAATGTTGCTGGCATGCCACTATTAAGCAAACTAAAGACGTTTATTTCATGGAGTGGGCAGAATGGCATCCATTTATCCTAAGCCTCCAATGTGGGCTTAAAGACTGATAGCTTAAAAGGGTGGATATTAAAATTTCTTCCTCTCGCCAAGGGCAGCTACGCAGAATAGAAATGTGATGGCAATTGGAGGGGTATTCGTCAGATTCAATTTCACTAGAAATTTCCCTGTATCAAAATCATCTTGAATAACACAGAAGGTGCAGCAAAATGTACTAAATCATTGTTTGCTTTAAAAAGGATTTTGAATCTAAAACAGAAAGTAGTTATGCCGCTATGATTTTAACCAATTAACCACAGAAGAGTTTAAATGCAACCCGATTTTTACCATTTTGAATGGACTTTTTGTTCCCTGTTTGTATAATTCTATCCCAATTCATCTGAATTAAATTGTAGTCACTTCCTGTTCTGTGGTGTTTCTGGTTCTTCAGAAGACATTAGAAATCAAGTGCCAAACTTTCTGTGAAGGTTTATTTGTGATTAGTTTCTCTCCTTTGAACTCCTAAATGCCTTTTCCCTACCATTAAACAAGCGACATTTCATATATTAGGATTTAATTGAGGTGATAGTATTTAATTCTACATATTTCTAAAAGAAAGTATATATATACACATATATATATATACAAATCAACTTGACTCCACTGAAATTATTTTTCTGTAATGAAAATGCAGGTAGAAAATTGTCTGAGCAGTCTATATTTTCAGTGTTTTGAGTACTTCAAATTGATGGTAAAAATTGTGTTTTCAACTTTGCTTAAAACAAACTAAAACAGATTTCTGATGTTTTAATTAATTCAACTAATAGAGAATTAGTATTTTTCTATTTTCCGGTACGTATTAATAAAGAAAGAGCTGTGTATCATTAACCAATGATCAGGTTTTATAAATGAGCTTTTACCTTCTCTCTCTCTCCCATATTCATAGGTGAACAGGGTGTCTAAGATTGTACTTTGGATTGTTTGTTGGTTTTTGCAAACAGGTGTCTTATTAAGGATTTTGAAAGGCGACCTTCCGTCACACATCTCCTTGACCACCCATTTATTAAAAGAGTACGTGGAAAGGTTTTGTTTCTGCAAAACCAGCTGGCCAAGGTTCTCCAAGACCAGAAGCGTCTAAATCCTGTTACCAAAACCAGGTACTGTACTTTCTTTCTTCTTTCTCCCTGTGGTTGTTTATAAAAATGTCATGTCATGTGTTTTGACTTGCCCAGCATTATTACTGGTAATTATCACATCCCTGCATTTTTAAGAGTTTTATTTACATGACATTAAGTACTCCATGCCCAGTGGATGAGAGCAGGAGAGCTTCAGAAACAAAGTGCCCATTTGTGCTCTTATGGCCAATTTCTCTCAAGTGGCTGAAATCTTACTCTGCCCTGGTGTTCAGTTAGCTCTAGTTAAAAAATCAACAAATATATGTATTTACATTTAACAGAAATTTGGATTCTTTTTTTTTTTTTTTTTTTACCAATAAGGGTAACTGTAGGAAAGCAACCATGGCTGACATTGTGTGAAACACCTTTATTGGCTGTGGTAGACTGAAGAGCAGTCATGTAGGCTGTAAAGTGATTTTTGGGAAGATTCTGAGCTAAACACTGGAGGCTGTTTCTCTGATGTGCTCTTTAGTTTTCCATTTTCTCTTTAGTTTCAAACTCCTTAGAGTCAATTTAGTATTTTTAAGTAAGATTTTTCAGGTATTGTTTATTTTATCTAAAGCAGCCGTGATTCCTACCCTACCTCATCCTTTTTTTTTTTTTTTTTTTTTTTTAGAAGGTAGATTTTTATAGAAATGTTTATTTTCAGGGGCAAGTGCTTTAAACAGTATTTCTTGGTGAATCGCTAAGAAATAGATCTTTGATTTCTGTCCAGAGGGTGGCAGAATTTCTCTTTAAAAAAATTAAATGCAAATAAACCTGCTTCCTAGGCTCAGCAATTATTTGGTTTTATGAAACCTACATCCAGGATGTAGATAAGCTACAGTCCATTATTATTAAAAGAACATTTGAAGTACTGGAGGTGAAGAAAATAAAATATCATAAGTTGCAAGTTCCGGAAATATTCACGTATTCTGCAGAAAGCTGTTTAGTAATCAAAAAGCCAAATGCTGGCCTCAGAACTTTTGGAGCTGGAGACGTAGTTTCAAGGTGACTATATTTTGCTGATTTTTCTTCCCTTTTGGGTAGCTCAGAGTGGATTTTTTTTCCTACTTGTTTCCTTTTTCCACTGCCATTTCTGTTTCTATGGCCTCCCTACAGAGTAGAGAAATGCAGAGAAATTCTTGTGACTTGGGGTCTTTTTGAAGCAGTAGGAACTTGTGTTTAAACCCCAGGGAGCTGAAATCTCTTTTCTTCCTTGTTTTGTTCCTTTACAGCAGCCACCACCCCTACCAGCCACCCACACACACACACACAGCACCACCACCACCAAAAATGAAGACGAAGTAAAAGAAAATACAAATTAAGCAAAAAACAAAGCCAACATTTAAAGGGTATGAGTCAAATCCAACATCTCCTCCTTGTCTCCTTGTTCTGGGATTTGCCACGGAATGATTTCTAAGACTTCATTTGCCAAATTATCTGGATTTTCACATTTGCCTGACTTTGCCTGTCCAGATCTATGCTCTCTCTCTCTTTTATTCTTTTTGAAGAAAAAAGGTGCGGTGGCTCATGCCTGTCATCCCAGCACTTTGGGAAGCTGAGGTGGGCGAATCACGAGGTCAGGAATTTGAGATCAGCCTGACCAACATGGTGAAACCCTGTCTGTACTAAAAATACAAAAAATTATCTGGGCATAGTGGTGGGGGCCTGTAATACCAGCTACTCGGGAGGCTGAGGCAGGAGAATAATCGCTTGAACCTGGGAGGCGGAGCTTGCAGTGAGCTGGATTATGCCACTGCACTCCAGCCTGGGCAACAGAGTGAGACTCTGTCTCAAAAAAAAAAAAAAAAACAAAAAAAACCAAAATCTTTCTCCTTTTACCATAGAAAATTGTAACACCAGCCTCTCTCATCCCCTTTCTCTAATTTCTCTTTATCTTTGTTAACTCCTTTGAACCAAAATCTTTCTCCTTTTACCATAGAAAATTGTAACACCAGCCTCTCTCATCCCCTTTCTCTAATTTCTCTTTATCTTTGTTAACTCCTTTGATGTCAGAAGCCTCATGTAGTGGCAAAGGCTTCTCACAGGGTCTTTGTAATCTCAAGTTTCACTCAGTGGTTTGTGTTTCTTTGAACTATCATTAAAAAAAAATACAACCTCACAAATAGGTATCAACACTTTAAACAATCACTTCCTTAGGATGTAGGAAAATTAATTCCAAAGGAAACACAGTGCACGTAATTGACACTTAACCTGCCACCTCTCTTGTACTATTACTTCCTCTTGCAACTGGCAAAGAGCTGGCTACATAGATGTTTTTCAGCCCACCAGGAAAAACCCTCAAATACCATTCCATGCTGATAAATCAATATATTTAAAGCTGTGATTTTTCAAGTTAAAGCAGACAAAAAACAAAAAACAAAAAAAAAACACACAGAAAAATTGAGGTGAGTGTATAGATGATTGAGGCCAAATTACCCACTCATCATTTTTCTACACAGTTATGGCCACCGGGCAGGCAGTGCAATGTGGTGGTTAAAACCACTGGCTTGGCAGGGTGTGGTGGCTCACACCTGTAATCCCAGCACTTTGGGAGGCTGAGGTAAGAGAATCACTTGAACCTAGGAGTTTGAGACCAGGCTGGTCACTGTAGCAAGACCTCATCTCTACTAAAAAGTTAAATAAATAATAAAAAGTAAAAGAAAAATTAGCCATGCATGGTGGCACATGCCTGTAGTCCCAGGAGGCTGATGTGGGAGGATCACTTGAGCCCAGGAGTGTGAAGCTGTAGCAAACTGTGATTGCACCACTGCACTCCAGACTGGGCAACTCCAGACCTGTCTGAAAGAAAGGAAAGGAAAGGAAAGGAGAAAGGGGAAAGGGGAAAGGGGAAAGGGGGGAGGGAAGGAAGGGAGGGAGGGAACTTATCGCTCTGCCAGGTTTGGATCTCAGGCCAGCCACTAACTGGATATGTTTTTAATCTTTCTCTTCCAAAGTTTCTTCTATAAAATGGGGATTATTTTGAGGGTTAAGTGAGTCAATACATGTAAAATGCTTAGAATAGGGCACCTTCCATAAATGTTAGTAGTAGAAGTAGTGTACAAGGCCTATTTAATTCTGAGTCTTTCATTTCTTTTTAACACTAACTACCTCTTGCTCATAATCTGTGCAAATTCATCTTTTTACTTACTGTAAAAGATCATGAAAATAAATAGTACTGAGGTACTGAATGTTAAAAATATCCCATTTTATCTCTTATTCAATATCTAATTTATTCATTCAAGAGGCATTTATACCTGTGTATGTGTCAGGCCCTGTGCTGAACAGAGGGATTACAAGGGCAAATCAGATGCAGTTCCTGATAAAGAGCTAATAGTCTGGTGTGTGATAGAGACAAGAATCAGGTGAGAACAGTTCAACATGAAAAGTACCTAGATAAAGAAATGCCTGGGATACCTCCCAGAGCACCTGGGAAAGACACCTAAGTCAGTCTGGGGTTGGGATGGTGGGGGAAGATGCCCTGGAGCTTCTGGGAAGATGATCCTTGAACTGTCCTGAAGAACAAAGCGAAGATAGTCAAGGAAAGGGGGTTATTTGGGGTAGAGGGGAAAGAATGAGCAATGAGCAAAGGGCGAGGCACAAGGGCTAGAGAGAGCTTGGGGAATCTGGTGAACAATTAGTTGACATGGCTGGAGCTTGGCATGGGGTAGGTGGGAGGCAGAGACAAGGTAGACAGGAGCCAGGTCATAATGGGCCTAAGGAGCTTGAATTTGTTTCTTAGGTGCTAGGGAACTATTGATGAGTTCTAGAAAGTTGTTCTGATTGCAGTATGGAGAATGAAGCAGGGCAAGGCTGCAACTAAGGAGACTAGTGAGCAGATCATAGTAATTACAAATGGCAGAAGATATTAAAATAATGATATTGTCAGGACTTAGTGACGGACTGATGGAGGGAGATTAGGGAAAGAGAGAAGTGTGATGGGGTCTCCCCAAACTGGGCTGCCTCCCTGGCCTGGTTCACGATACAATCACATAGAAATTGCAAGACACGTCTTCATAGTCTATCAAATGCAATGCTGAGTACTTCCAGATATTACACAAGGCTTCCAGCTTTCTGCCTGAAAGAGAGTTCTTCAATGGTCTAAGCAGTCCTGGGCCCTCCAGCTGGAGCAACTCTTTTGGATTTGAGAGCTGATACAGAGTAATGAAACGTATAACCTACAGGGAAAACTTTCTTACTATTCCTGCAAAGGTAAGGAATATTCTGTCCACTTTAGTACTTTTCCCAGGGGAGAGAGAAGTTGGTAGTTTCAGCGGGGCTGCAGGGAAGAATGCAAGTTCTTAAAGGATTGGGGAACACTTGGACAGGTGAAGGGGAAGGATATATAGAGAGAGGGAGACATTGAAGACAGAAGAGAGAAGAAACAATGGAGGAAGCAAGAGGGAGTGGGTCAGGGGCCTAAGAGGAAAGTTCACCTCAGAAAGAGAGAAGCTCTAAGTTGGGAAAGACACAGAAAGGTTAGATAAAAGTACTCAGAAAACTTAAGAGAGGAGGTATTGTGAGGAAATTCGTGTTGAATGGCCTTTATCTTTCAAAAAAAAAGAAAAAAAAACTTAGCAAGGTTTCAGAGTTGGGAGTGGAATGTGTACTCCAGGGAAGTGTTAAATCTTTGAGATAGTCACTATGAGGAATACGATAAAGGGTCAATTAAAGATAGACATCATGATTGCTTAATAGCATAGAAAACCCAGGTGGAACATAACTGAACAGCATCCTATTGTAGGGAAGTTAATCCGTCTCTAAGATAATGTATGTCGAGCATTCAGGACAGCGTTTGGCACTAGAAACTCTCAGAAAATGTACCATCACCACTGCCGCCTTTCTCATCTGTCATCTTGATTAACTCTTAGCAGCAAGGAGTTAGGAGTAGAGAAAGCAGACATTATGGTCTTCTTCGGGCTGGAGACTGACTTCAGTGGACATGATGAGTAGGTAAGGCAGCAAGGGAATCGAGGTTAGTAGAAGAGTGGCCTTGGGAT